TTCGGTCAGGACTCGGATGCAACGGAGGACTCGACCCACGACGCTATAGAGCACAATCGCGGCATGGTACATCGCAGTTCAGCACGGTGCAGCACAGCACAGCCTTCGGCAGGGTACATCAAGATCGATACACTCAGCATTACATTTGCCCGTCACCCAATCAGGTGTCTTTGAACACGCTGCCATGCGTTACAGTTCTATATTCCTTTCCGGGTTCGTGGGTCGATCATGTTTTAGTTTGTTTCCCCCCCTGGGGCGGGGGGTGGGCCGTCAGTGAGATTGTCTCATTTGATTGCTATAGCAGAGCGTGGCAGAATGGAGGGTAAGTATGAGAAGCTTGCGCTACGTGCTCTGTATTTTTGGCCTTGCCAGTATTGTGACCGATAGTGGCGGCGTGCAGTTGACATCTCCATTGGTGTGTGACCGTTGTTCGTCACGAGAGCATGCGGCCTGGGCCCAGGGCGAAAGTGCCCAGATTATGCCTGAAGACAGCTCCGAGTCGATCTTGGAGGCGCAGATGCAAGAAGAGGCGGCGGAGGAAAGGTACGCTGCTTCTGATCTGTGTCGAAGAATTTCCGATTTACCATTCTGTGGTTTGGCTCTACTTGAGGTTGAAGGGCGCCGTGTTCCAATCCACTTACACGCATACATACATATATATATATGTATATACATTTACTTTTATCTATACATCTATATATATACATATCTACATATATATATCAGTATATATATCCATATATTTAGCTATATATATGTATATATTTATATAGATATCTGTATCTTATATATATATGTATGTAGGTATATGTATATCCTACAATTCGCTAGGTCTTTTCGTGCTCGCTATGGCTTCGTCGAATTATCCGTAGGTGCTTGGCCCTCTGCCGCCGGCCCCCTCTCTGTTCTGGTGAGGGGTGTCAGTGCCGTGCTCAGAGGAGGCAAAGGTACCCCAGACCTCTCCCCTCCCCTCGTTTGCTTTTTTTGGGGGGCCTCCTGGGCCTCCCTCGTCGCCACGGCTGGATTCGCCTCGGAGTTCTGGTCAGAACGCACGCCAGGAGCGTGCCCCGCGCGCGAATCTGGGCAATATGCAAGAGAGTCTGGGATCGGGAGCGTGAATCTGGCGTAGTTTAGATAATATTCTGGCTTCGGGAATGCGATTTTGGTGCAATTTCCAGGGAAAATGGCATCGAGAGCGTGACTCTGGAGTACTTTGTGGCGTCCAAATCCCGATTCGTAGCGAAAAATCATCCCAGGTACCCAGAAGTTTGTGGCGCTTGCAAGGAAGCTTTAAAGCATGCTTGGTTAGTTTTCCAGCTTGAGATAGAGGCCGCGTAGGAGTCCAGGAGGCGCTGCCAAGGAGCTGCGCAAAAGGCTTCCGGCACACATCTTGGGAGCGAGTAGGCAACCGCCTCCAGGGCGAGCCAGAAGCTCCAGCAGGTCGCTGCGAGGCTCCCTGGCCAGAAGCTGGGGGAGGAAGCCGGCATGCCCCCTTCTCTGCTGGCTTCTACTCTAAAGTCCTACTCGCTTTTCAAGGAGGTATCCAGGAATGTCTTCGGATGCATCTCCTGGGAGGTCAAATTCTGATTTTGCCCTGGTCCGAAGTCCGGCTAAATCCCGCTCAATCCCGACTGATCCCGCTTAATCTGGCTTAGTCCCGCTGAATCCCGCCTAGTGCGGCTTAGTCCGAGGCCCACTCTGGCGTGACAGTCCCCCAATGGGGCTCAATCCTTTGTAATCCTTCGACGAAAACCTCCCAGTAGTTGCCTCCCAAAATGTCCAGAGTCCCGACCCCCGGGCCGCGCCCGCGTCTGGGGTCCGAAACCCCGGCCGCGCGGATCCCAGGGTTCTCGCCACGAGGCCGGCACAGAGCCCCCGTGCCGCGCCGTGCTTGCAGCAGGCCGCCAGGAGGCCTGCGGTGGAGGGTTTCTCCGGAGGGCTTAGGCGAAACGTCCTCCGCCTCTTCCTCCTCCTCCTCCTCCTCCTCCATCTCCTCCTCCTCCTGCTCCTGCTCCTCCTCCTCCTCCTCCTCCATCTCCTCCTCCTGCTCCTCCTCCTCCATCTCCTCCTTCTCCAACTCCATCTCCTCCTCCTCCTCCTCCTCCTCCTCCTCCTCCTCCTCCTCCTCCTCCTCCTCCTCCTCCTCCTCCTCCTCCTCCTCCTCCTCCTCCCCCTCCTCCCTTCCTCCTCCTCCTCCTCCTCCTTCTCCTCCTCCTCCCCCTCCTCCTCCTCCTACTCCTCCTCCTCCTCCTTCCTCCTCCTCCTCCTCCTCCTTCCTCCTCCTCCTCCTCCTCCTCCTCCTCCTTCTCCTCCTCCTCCTCCTCCCCCTCCTCCGTAGCCATTTTGGCTCAAGCCTCTGGCTGAAGCCGTCTTGGCACGTTGGGTATGTTGGGCCGGGTTGCGGGTCCGTCGTGCAACGCATACGGGCCCGTTGGTTGCAGCCCCATGAGCTGCGCCATTGCCTTGTTGACGCTGGCCGCTGGTGTCGCGGCTGCTCATGCTGCTTGTTCTGTGACAATGTCTCAGAACGGATGCTATGATGCGAGTGGTTTGTATAACACTTACGCCATGGGTGCACATCGGTTTGAGTTGCCATACAACGATGAGTTCAATTTTCTGGCCATCAATGGGTATTGCAACGTGACGGTGTACCAGCATTTTGAGTACGACGGGTGGGAGTTTCAGTACGAAGGGCCTGGCTGTCATGAGGGGTTCCCCGAGAACCGCACCAGTTCCGCCATTGTGAGAGCGTTGGCACGCCCTACGGGCATGGACGGCATCGATGGTGATTGTAACCCGTCCGCTGATCCGACGCCCGCGCACACGCCCGTCAGCACTTACGTCTACGCATACTCGAGCGTGCGCTGTGTCGGCGCAGTGATCCTCTACTGGTGGAACTGTGGTCAGGCTTGCGCCCAAGCTGATTGCGCAGCCCTTTGCGACCAGAGTGAGCAGTGCTCCTATTTTGCAACCTGGAGCTGGGGCCAGTGCGTGACTTACAGCGACTGCCAGGATACTGAGACAGAGAACGCATCATCTACTGATCCGACTGCCCAGATTCAGGTGTACCAGAAAGTAATCATGACGCCAAGCCCGACGTCATCTCCGTCCCCAGCCAGCCCGACGGACAGCCCAACGCCCATCCCGACGCCATCCCCGTCCCCAGCCAGCCCGACGGACAGCTTGACGCCCAGCCCGACCCCAGCCAGCCTAACGGAGACGCCATCTCCGTCCCCAGCTGGCCCGAGGACCAGCACGACGCCCCCTCCTCCTCCCCCTCCTCTTCCTCCTCCTCCCCTCCTCCTCTTCCTCCTCTTCCTCCTCCCCCCTCCCCCTCCTCGCCCTCCCCTCCTCGGGTCGCCTACGGCCTCTGGGGAAGCCGTCCAGCCTGTGGGAGACGCCTGCAATGAAACTTGTGCCCATCACGCTTGCAAGCTTGACGTGGGAACTGCGATGGGGCCCATGAAGCGCTTTCCAGGCGCTGCGCAAAGGCTTCTGACACACGTCTGGGGAACGAGTAGGGAAACGCTTCAGAACACACGCTGCAGTCTCAGGAAGTCAGCTGCGAGGATGCCTGGCCCGCAGCCGTGGAGAGGAAGCTGGCTTACCTGAGCCCGTCGGCTTCTTCTGTAAAGCCTGACGTAGTTCCAAGAGCTACCCAGGAAGTAACGATGGGTTCTGGCTTCGGGAGTGCAGCATTCTGGTGTAATGCAAACCTTATCTTGGTTTCGGGAGCGCGAATCTGGTGCAGTTTGCAAGGAATTATGGCCTGTGGAATGCGAGCGTTCTAGCTTCTGGAGCGCGAGGGAGATGCAATGTGCTGAGGATTTTGGGTTCGGGAGCGCGAGATCGGTGCAATTAAAACAGAAGTCGGGCCTCGGTAGCGCGATTTGGATGTAATTTACAAAACAGGCTCTGGATTCGGGAGCGCGACCATGGCATACGTCATCAAGAATTATTGCCTCAGGGGCGCGAATGCCAGGTATTTTCTACGCGTCCCAAGCCCACCATCAGTCCAGGCATCGCGATTGGGGCAAGGTAACAGGCTGGTTTTGCCCCCCCTCCCCCCTCCCTCGCGTGGGCAGCAGCAAATGTTTCCAGTGGGGAACAGAAACCAATACTATAATATTGGAAACCGGGAGCCGGTAGTGGCGCAGGAAGCAGGACTTTTCCGCCACGCAGCTAGATTGCCCCACAAGAGGCCAACGGATTTATTCGTGTCTGATCTAGCATCCTATTTTGGAAGGCGGATGTGCAGAGTGTCGCGATTGTGTCCATCCCTGCGTATCGCATTGTGGTGGCTCATTCTGTATTTTGGAACAACGCCGTAGGGTATGGAACGCAACTTGTGGACAGCATGCCAATCGCCCTGACACCATATGTCGTTGGAGGTCGGGGGGGTGATATCGAATTGGAGCGCACCCCCCCAGGGCAATCGGCTTCGGTTTCGCTTCCGCTCGTGTTGTGTGTGCGGGCCAACTGAATACGCGTGTGTGGGCGACAGATTTCTCTCACTGACCAGCGAATGTGGTTGCCCTTTTGTCTGGCGATTGTCCCTTTTGTTTTACCTTTTGGTTCGGGATGTTTCTGGCCAGGTTTTCCCGCGATTTTTCCGTTTCGTTGTCCCTTGCAGTTGTGGCGTGGTCGGGAAATAAAACCACGACAGTAGCTAACACGCGACGACTTGTCTGTCAACCGCGGCGCTTTTGTCGTGTTCATCCCGAGCATTTTCTTTCGATGGAGGGCAAAGGGTAAAATCTGAAATGCCGTTTCGATTGCTTTTCGAGGCTTGGATTTGCAACAGGTGAATCACAAGATGGATTGCTTGGCGAGGTGCAAAAGCCCAAATGGATTTCACCCTGAGCCCTCCACCCTAAGACAATGCTCAGTCATCGCTGAAGTCTCGTATTCAAGCGTGATGTGCTGGTTCTATGACTCGTTGCTTTGATCATTAGGATATTGAACCAGAGTGTCCAACAAGTGTCGCAACATCGCGGTTCCAAGAAACAACAGGTCTTCGGATTGCAACAGCGGGGGCCGAAGCCATGGGACAATTCGGCGAAGTACTAGGTTGACAACAAGGTCGTTATGGAACGTAATGTTCCAGGCTTCGTGCGGTCAAGCAGCTTCGACATACTTGCGCTTGTGCTTGCGATCCCAGCTGGCATTTTATGTTTCGTTATCCAGATTATGGCGGCGTGCGGTACACACACATAAGGCACAACGGGCCTCCTCTGTCGATTTCTGGAGCGAAGTCTGCATCAATTTGTCGTGGCTCTTTGCGGTCGTTCTGATTCTTCGATTCGTGCTTGCACTCAGGGGCCTTTGCTTGAAATCCGAGGAAGCCCAGCCTCCACGCGCTGGCATAGCTGTGAGATGTTTTTTTGGTGCGGACCTTGTGTCTACGGTCCCTGTTTGGTTACATGTACTTAGTTGGTCGAGCGTCACTTCGCTGGTACCTCGTCGGACGGGGGGGAGCGGGGGAGGCAAGCGGGCGGCGGGCGCGCGAGACAGGCTGCACAGCGTGATTTTACGAAACAGGAAGATTCAGGCGATGAGCTGGTGTCGATGAACGTTCCCCTGCAGGTACGCGGAGGAGGAGGCCGCAGACGCGATGGAGGAGAGCTGCGTGGACGACCCGAGCTGGATGGACATGGACGGCGATACCTGCGAGGTGTACTCGGAGTACATCAAGTCTGGCAAGATGTCACTCGAGACCGCCTGCGGCTACAACGACGGGGAGGCCCGGCGCAGCTGCCGCCGCAGCTGCGGTGGGTGCGACGGGGCTCCGCCGCGCGGGCAGTGCCGTGACGCGGCCTGCGTCGTCAAGTGGAGGCTGGAGTACGGCAGGTGCTTCGCCTGCGACCAGTGGCCGTCCCGCTGCGGCGATCCCGACTTCGCCGCCGACTGCCCGAAGACCTGTGGCACTCGGCGTCGTCTAACCGATGCCCATCCCCACTGGGCCATGGTGACTCAGCCTCCTCCTCCTCCGAGCCTTCTGCGGAAGCCCCGCCAGGCCAGCCTTCCAGTTGGGGATTGGCCCCGTGAAGCCCGAGGGAACATGCACATATCTCCACCCAGGTGGGTAAGTCGGCCGGTGGGGCCAGGGCCACGCCAGTGGGGATGGGTATGAATTGTGCACATTGTTCATTTCTAATCCTTCGAACGTTCTTTCATTTTTTGGGGGCCAAGATCCTTTCATTTCTAATTGTTCTGTCCTGGGCCTCTTCCTGGCCACTAGGGGTCCAGGAACAATTAGAAACGAGCACAACTAGAAATGAGCACGATTAGAAATGAACGATGTGTACGATGCTCAGGCACCTGTGCGCCCTCTTCGGAGGAGACGGAGGACGAGTCCGAGGGTCTGGTGGTCGTGCCGCAGACGAGCCGGGCGCCCGAGACAACCACCACGCGGCCGCCCGCCGCCGCGCCCGCCCCCTGCAAAGACCACGACTGCGTGGACCACTGGCTGAAGAAGACCGGGGAGTGCTACCACTGCGAGGAGCGGCGCCGAGCCTAGGGGGGAGGGAGAGGGGGGGCAAGGCTTCTCAGGAAGCTGCGGGGCTTCTCAGAAGCGCCTTCTGAGAAGCCGCTTGTGGCCTCGGATAATGCGTACAAGTCTTCTCGGAGGCTGCCAGGGCTTCTGAGACGCCCCGCCTGCTGAGAAGGTCTGCCCCCTCTCCCTTCCCGCCTGGGCTCGCCACCGAGAGGAGTTCGCGGAGGCCTTCTGCGGCCGCGACGAGGATCAGAGGATGTAAAGGTGCCGATGCCGCTGCCATGGCCTCGTTTTTGCTTTTTTGTGGGGCGTCCTGGGAGGCACTCGTCGCCATAGCTGGACCCGCCTCGAAAGTCTGGTCGGACCGTGCCCCAGGAGAGGTCCGGGGAGTAGCGGCACCTGTCTTTTTTCTCCCCCCGAGAGGAGTTCATGGAGGCCTGCCCCAGGAGCTGCAAGATGTGCACGCCGAACGGGGAGCCCGGCTGCGAGGACAACTTCAGCCCGCACACGTGCAGGCGCCTTGCGGCCTGGCAGTGGTGCGGCAACGGCCACGTCGCGGAGCACTGCCGGGCATCGTGCGGCCTCTGCCCCGCCCTGCCCGAGGGGTCGGAAGGCCCCGCGCCGTGGAGCGGGCCAGGGTCGCGGTGCTCCCGGCCAGGCGCCTCTGTGGCTTCGCTGCTGGCTCTGTTCGGAGCTGTGACGTGCCTCGTCCATCACAGCCCCTGAGGCCCTCGGGGCGGCCTCGTCGGCGGTACTCGTTGGCACTCTGGAGCCGGCCGGGTGTCTGAGGTGGCCAGGCACTGGTTCCAGCCAGCAGGAAGGGCCAGCATCGGTTTGACCTTCAGCGGCCTTCGGGGGCCGTCTTCGGACCCTGGGACCGTCAAACATTCATTTGGGGTGAAAAAGTGTCCCCGACGGGCTCCTGGGAGGCGTCTGGGAACCAGTTTTGAGCGGATATGGCTTCATCCCCCTTCCCCCCCCTGACTGATTTTCTCGGGTCCTCACCGATTCAGACCTCCTGGCCGCCTCTAACGTTCATCACAGCCCCGGAGGCCCTCGGGGCTGCCCTGTCGGCGGTGCGCGTCGCGTCGGCACCCCCGTCGCCGCTGGAGGACTGCCTGGAAAAGGCAGTCTCCATGGCCGCGGTTCACAGGGAGGAGGATCGGCTACGCATGAGAGGCATGTTTCGCCGGAATGAATTTCGGTGGGCTCCTCGATCGCTGAATGTGATGCGATAGCAGCGGCTTGCGCGCCTGGATTCCCCCCGCGCCCCCCCCTTAAGCCGTGCACAGGTCACTCCTGCCCAGGGCCGCGCTTGCGCGTAGCCGAGAGGATGGGGGGGCAGAGCTTTGAGCCATCTTGGGCCGTTGTGGGCCTTCTGACCGCTCGCGAAACTTCCCAAAACACCCAGGGAGGGGGGTGGCGACCCCTCTCCGAAGGAAAGGCGCTTCTGGAGAGGGAAATGTCAATTTCGTTAGACCACCTACGCCCAGAGGGCTGGTGGGATTCCTGAAAGCCACCCGCGCCCCTCTGCCTTTCATCATTCGCTTTCGCCGACCTGCTGTTATCCGTAAGGGCTTCGCCGCCTGCCGCCGGCCCCCTCTCTCGGAGAATGGGCCAGGGAAGAGCGAAGTCATGAGGCTTTCGCTTTGAGGCTTTGGCTTCGCCGTGAAGCAGTGTCGGGACCTGTTTGTTTTTCGACCCTGACCCTACGGATCTGCGTGAGGGGTGAAGCCGTGTTTTTGGACCCTGACCCTACGGATCTGCGTGAGGGGCGCCGCCGAATTTCAGAAATGTGGCAAATCCCATGTGTTTTTGGACCCTGACCCTGCCGATCTGCGTGAGAGGTGCCAGGGAATTTCAGAAAGTAGCACATCTCCTGTGTTTTTGGACCCTGACCCTGCCGATCTGCGTGAGGGGTGCCACCGGATTTTAGAAATGTGGCAAATCCTATGTGTTTTTGGACCCTGACCCCCCCGATCGGCGTGAGGGGAACCGCCGAATTTGAGAAATGTGGCAAATCCAGTGTGTTTTTGGACCCTGACCCTGCCGATCTTCGTGAGGGGTGCCACCGAATTTCAGAAATGTGACACATCCCCTGTGTTTTTGGACCCTGACCCCGCCGATCTGCGTGAGGGGTGCCACGGAATTTCAGAAATGTGGCAAATCATTTGTGTTTTTGGAACCTGACCCCGCCGATCTTTGTGAGGGGCGCCATCGAATTTTACAAAAGTTGCAAATCCCATGTGTTTTTGAACCCTGACCCTGCCGATCTTCGTGAGGGGTGCAACCGAATTTCAGAAATGTTGCAAATCTTTTGTGTTTTTGGACCCCGACCCCGCCGATCTGCGTGAGAGGTGCCAGGGAATTTGAGAAATGCGGTAAAACCTATGTGTTTTTGGACCCTGACCCTGCCGATCTTTGTGAGGGGTGGCACCGAATTTCAGAAATGTGGCAAATCCCGTGTGTTTTTGGACGCTGACCCCGCCGATCTGCGTGAGGGGCGCCACCGAATTTTAGGACTGGCAAATCCCTTGTGTTTTTGGACCCTGACCCCGCCGATCTGCGTGAGGGGTGTAAATTTCTATTCACCCCAGCTATTCAGACAATACGATTTGGGCGTTGTAAAAATGCTCGTTTTAGGCCTCCCCCCCGCGCGTGGTCCATCAACAAGGAACAGTAAGCAGCAAGAAGCAGAATTGTAACAAGGAGCAGTAAACAGCAAGAAGCAGAACTGTAACAGTGGAAACTTGAAGCTGCAACTGGTACAGAAAACTGCGAACCTCCGGCCTGCAGCCTGGTGGCCCCACAAGGGGGCCGGCCGATTTTAATTTTCTGCCGCTCTCTTATTGTCTGTGTGTACGTCAGGTATTCAGTCAGTCTGTCAGTCTGTCTGTTCGCCTTTCTGTCTGCCCGTCCGTCCGTCCGTCCGTCCGTCTCTCTGACTGTCCGTCTGTTCGTCCGTCCGTCCGTCCGTCCGTTTGTGTGTGTCTGTTTGTTTGTTTGTTTGTCTGTCTATCTGTCTGTCTGTCTGTCTGTCTGTCTGTCTGTCTGTCTGTCTGTCTGTCTGTCTGTCTGTCTGTCTCTGTGTCTGTCGGTCTGTGTCTGTGTCTGTGTCTGTGTCTGTCTGTCTGTCTGTCTGTCGGTCTGTCTGTCTGTCTGTCTGTCTTTCTGTCTGTCTGTCTGTCTGTCTGTCTGTCTGTGTGTCTGTGTGTCTGTGAGTCTGTGTGTCAGTCTGCTCGTTTGTGTGTCTGTCTGTCTGCAGCGCGTCCCGCTCTGGGACAGGCCGCGGCCGGGCCGCGCTGGGGAGACAGAGGAGGCGGAGCGCGCTGCGCTCGACCTCGAGCACCAGGGCGACGACGGCCGCCGCTCGCTCGACGTGTCCGTGCGGGACCCCGCTGCAGGCACCGCCGCGGAACAGCGGGCCGCGGCGCGTCGCGACTGCGAGGCGAACCGGCGCGGGGGGCGAGACAAGCACGGTCGTTGCCGCGGAGTGCGCCTCATCCTAATCGTCCTCGGGGCGGGGTGCCTGTTCTTGCAGGCCGATGCGACTTGGCCAGCCCGCGGCCCGATGGGCCTTCCCAGCGAGTCCCGCATTTCCCCGCTCGCCGTGCCTACGACGCCGGCCCTGGTGCTTACCGACCTGAAACCGCTGCCGCCGCTGCCGTGCCCGAAACTTTCCTTGCGTGAGATGCATTCGCTAGCGCTGGCCGATAGCGTCGCGCCCTATCCGCGGCGTGGCCGCCATGTCGTGGGCATCGCGCGCCTGATGGTCGACCTCGCCAGGCGCATACACCACCAGATTGAGGAGGCCAGGCAGGACTTCGTTCAAGGTCGGCGCTCCGCGGACCCACGAGGCAGCAGTGGGCGGACATCCGGGGCGAGGTGTTGGAGCCGCGATGACTGCTGCATCTTCCTGGCTACGATCTACGGGAACGAGGTGCCCGACAGTGGTGTCCCTGGCTGCCCCTGGGGTGGCAGGCGGGCAGCCCTGGCCCACGTGGTCGCCTGGTGTATCACGCAGAAAGGCCAGATCAAGGCTGGGATCATTAGGGGCTACAAGTGGAGGCCACCGTGGGGCGCTTTCCTTGGGCCCTGGGTGGCCGTGAGAGGTGCCGACCCCGATGACATGTAAGACGCGGACATCCTGGCGCCCCTCCTGGCCAGTCAAGGCAGTCACAGCATGAAGTGCGCCAGGCAGGCCCGCTGTTCCAGAGCTGCACAGGCCGAAAGCCCAACCGAGATCGCACTGGACGCACCCAGGGGGAGGGGCTCGTCGGATGCCCGGAGTGCTGGCGCAGGCAGTGGCAGTGACTTACCAGCGCCTGGAGCGGCGGCAGCTGGTCTAGCAGATAAGCCGCCCGAGCGCAGCCGAACAGTGCGCCGCATTGAGCAGTTGCCCCATTGGCAGAGCGAGGAATCCGCGGCGCCCAGCCCGAACCCCAGGTCGTAGGTCGTAGCAGTCACGCGCAGCGGCAGCGCCACTCCAGACTGGAGCCCCGCTGACACAGACAGAGGTGGCGCGCCGCAAGTGCAAGTGGAAGGGGATGGCGCGCCGCCTCCTTCCACGCCTGGCTCGCATGCCCCAGCAGATGGCTCGAGCTCGGGCGACGAAGGCGCCAGATCGCGACCTGCGGCAAGGGTGCGTCTTTGGGGCCAGGCCAGCGCTGTCAGCAGCACGAGGGGCCTGTTCCCAACGTCCGGGTGGGCGACTACCTCATCGCCATGTGCGACGAAGAAGGCCTGCTTCCCCTGCTGGTGCACGATTGCCGACGAGGCCGGGAGGCGGCTCCAACCAAACTTTCCCAGGGAATCGGTAACGGGGCCGGTCGAGAAGGTGCAAATGGGGTTCCGCCTGTGCGTGCGCATCAGTCTGAATGGCTGACGATTTGGGACGGATCGAATTGTGCCCACCTTGCCTGGATCACATGCTGGGAAGGGTGGTCTGGTCGGCCTATGGCCAGCGCGTGCATTGTTGAGGCACTTGGTACCAGCATGGTGTATCGAAGACACAGTGGGGTCCGCAGCTTGGTGAAGGCAACGCCCCCGGACGCAAAGCCTCGGTGGGGGCCTGGTATCAGTCGCGTGCTGCGGCGAGATGGTCCAGCAGCGGATCAAGCGCGGCGCAGTCGGGCTCCCAGGGCAGGGGCAGCCAGTGGCATGGCGGGCGCAATTGGGAGATGCGCCTCGCCAAGGGGGGGCCTTCTCAGAGGAGGGGCTGGGGCGGCCCGCGTGACCGCTTCTATGAAGTCCCCATGCGCGACATCCAATGGCTCCCAGTGTGGACGGCGAGGGAGAACAGAAACAATACCTGGCTATGCTGCGACGAATTCTAGACGCTTCGCGTAACCCACCAGCCCTCCGTAGCCCCCCCTGGCTCAAGCCGCCTCGGCTCGAGCACGCCCCTTCTCAGGTTCGCGCCCGGGCCGCTGCCGTGTGCGCCTTTGGAACGGCCCCCTCCGGGGCCGCGCTGCGCCGCCGCCAGCGGCTGGTGGCGGCGCGGCGGGGCGCCGCGCCTTGGCTTGGCGGCCCTCCGCCGCCGCCGCCGCTGCCGCCGCCGCTGTCGGAGGCGGCCGGCTGGCTGGCGGTGGTCTCCGCCGCCGCCGCCGCCTTTGCTGCCGCTGCCGCTGCCGGCTCCCCGCCGCTGCCGTCGCCACCGCTGCTGCCGCCGCCGCCGGATCCCATCCGGTGGCGGCGGCGGCCGGCGGCGCCGTGGCCGGCGTGGCGGCCGCTGCCGCGGCGGCCGCTGCTGCCGCCGCTGCCGTCTCCCCGCCGGCGGCGGCGGGCTCGGTGGCCTGCGCCCCCGCGGCCGCCCGCGGCGAGGCCGCTGGCGCGGCGGCTGCGGCGGCCGCCGCTGCCGCCCCCGCCGCCCCCCCGCGGCTGCTGCGGCCGCAGTGGCAGCAGCTGCCGCAGCTTCTGCAGCGGCAGTCACAACAGCAGCCGCAGCAGCAGCAGCTGCAGCTTCAGGAGCGGCAGCAGCAGCTGCAGTAGCAACGGCATCAGCCGCAGCAGCAGCAACAGCAGCAGCCCCTGCAGCCGCAGCCGCAGCAGCAGCAACAGCAGCAGTAGCAGCAGCCACAGCAGCAGGACTGCAACAGCTGCAGCAGCAGCGGCAACATAACCCAAAAGCTGCAGCAGCAGCAGCAGCAGCAGCCACAGG